GTGTGAGGTATTTTTGAAGTTAAAAAGATTCCATTGAGCTGGAGACATGGTTCAGTAGTTAAGGGAAGTTGTTGCTCTTATAGAGGACCCAGGTTCAACTCCCCAGTACCCACAACTCTGTAACTACAGTTCCAAAAGTTTTGGTGCCTTCTTCTGACCTCCATGGGTCCTAGGCATGCATATGTACACATAAATACATCCAGGTAAAACACTCCCAAATATTAAATAATAAAATAAATGCATTCAAAGCATTAAAACACTGTTGAGAGACGGCGCAGAGAATAAGAGCACTTGCTGCTCTTACAGAGGACCCAGGTTTGCTTCCCAGCACCCACGTGGTGTCTCAAAGCCATTCACATTGCCAGTTCTAGGAGACCCAACAACTCATGACCTCCACGGGCACCAGACACACACGCTGCCCATACATACATGCAGGCAAAACATTCACGCACAGAAAATAAATCTAAAAACATCCATTTTCAAACGCCATCACTGTATCATAGGACACCACAACTAGAGTCTCTGTAGAAAGGAAAACGGGGAAATAAATGTTCTCGTGAAAGACAAACAGCTGGAATGTTCCGGAATGGAGTCTGAGCAACCTTTCCTTGGAATATTGCTGCTGCTGCTAGGGAGTTCTCTAGCACGTAGTGGGGGACCTCGCTGACAGTAGCTCACAGGTTGACCTGATAGCAACCGTATAATGCAGAAGCTCACAAATGCCCCTGTATATGAGACCACAAAACCCCTGACCATCCGCTTACGTCACTCACACAGCCCTCTTTCCATACAGGGGCGAACACACGGGGCCACGCTGAGGGAAGTGGGCGGGACGACCACTTTCTCATGCGTCCCATCGCCGGCCATCCATCCTCATTCGCCCTTGCTTCCCTTTTCTCGTTCATGCGTCCCTGTGTGGTGTCCCCCCCCCCCCATCTTAGGCTCCCATTTGCTATCTCTGATTTCCAACTGTAATGACCTTGGTTAATCAGTATCCAGAGGAACAAGTGGGAATCGAGCTATGTGGCTGTCTGAGGGCTACTTGCTTTTAGTGCTTGTTGAAACAGTTTCCTCCTGTATGGTCATACATGGTTCATGATCAGTAAAGGGAGGAGAGCTTGGCTATGAGAACCTGAAATGTCCGCTAGTTTATCTACAAATCAGTTCTGAAGGTCAAATGAGCATGCTATTTGGAGCAAACAACTTGCTTTGCTTACTTCTGAGGCTACGAAAGTCACAGGCAGGAGGAAGGGAAGAGAGGGGCAGGGAGAAGCATTTCCCAGTCTATACAACTTACGTAGGCGTAAAAGTTGAGACAACTGCCTGTATCAACAGTTCTAGAAAGTAAAGCAATAAGGAAGACCACCACGAAATATCCACTTAGTAGATGGGTGGAAGGAAGCAGAAAACACGGTTCACTGCGTGGTAAGAAATGAGTGGTTTGTCAGGGCTCTAGAAACAGGTGTTGGGGTTGATTGTGGCATGACTCATGAGTTCTCTGCTTTCACTGTGCGCGACTGGAGTTAATATTTCAGCCAAAAGCCTACCACACAGATAAAAAAAAAAAAAACCCTGATTTGAGCTAATCATTTATTCTCAAGCTCACATGGACATGTTGGGTGCTCTGAGTCACATGTGAACAGACTTTCAAGGGACAAGCACTATGCTAGTCTTACAAGTTAATTTTAGAAAACACAGGCTATCTTACGCTATCCAGGGTCAGAAAAGGCAATTTGCTCACTGATTTCTTCTTTTTCCAAATCCCCATTTTATGGCAAAGTGAGAATGAGAACCCACAATGGCCAAAACAGTTTATCCTTTGTAAATCAATCCCAGTGAAAACCAGAAGAGGGGTGGGCCTGGTAAACCCTGTCCCGAAGAAAACCTTAACAGATTTAACACTAACTGATTTGGAATTTGGACACGGACTCCCGTGCCAAGTGTCCCGATGTTGAAAGTCTAACTGAATCTTGCTCTAACAGAGGAGCCTGAAACTGTGGGTTGCATAAATGCAGCTCTGCTGTTATCTCAAGCCCCACAGAGCGCAGGCAGCTCACTGCGGACCTTTGATACTAGGAGGGGCAGTGTACGCAGCCACGAGTTTCTTCCTCCTCAAAATTCTGCCCAGGAAGATGCCAGGTGGACTTCACATTTTATACTGTATATATATATATGCCAGGTGGACTTCACATTTTATACTGGAAGCACACATAGGTTCTGTCCACAGGAAAATGGGACCAGGGAAACTTCTGGAAACACAGCTTGCCCACAGTTTTGTTGGTAGACTAGTTTATAGTTTCTCTGATGCGGCCTGAAGAACAGTTGATTTCTGTGCAAATGGTGTGGCCATCCGCCGGCAGCTCTCTGCCCCCAGCCACATCGAGTATGTCCTCTCTCGTTCCTTCTGCTGTGAAATGTATATCCTCATGCCACACACACACAGCCGCGCACAAAACATGCTTCGCATACTACCAGCTTCTGCCGTGATTTTCCTGGGAATTTCATCAAACAAAAACGCTGCTAGTTATGTGTGTGAGCTGTTTCCCCAACTCTCATCGAGCTGGGGGGTGAGGAGCCTACTAGAGAAGTAACGCAGACGAATGTTGAGTGTGAACGTCTAAGCCATAGGAGGAACTTACTTCTGGCCGGCAAGTGCCAAAACCCAAGATTTGGCGGGATTAAAAAGTACTTATTTACAAAGAATCCTGGCCCTAATTTTACACTATATGCAAAAACTAACTTAACAGAGGCCAAAGGTCTAAATCTAAGGCACCAAACTGAAAAAGAAAATGGAAGGAGAGGTCCATGGACTTGACATAGAACCATAGGTAGCAAAAGAAGAAAAAGATAAACTTCATCAAAGTTTAAAAAAATTGAGCCAGGCATAGTGATGTGTTGGGAGACTCCTGTAATCCCAGCATGGGAGGCTAAGGTAGGAGGATCAGGTGTCAAGGCCAGCCTGGGCTACAAGATACTGTCTCCACATAAATAAATAAAATAAAAGCATTAAAACTTTAGCTGTGCTGTGGTAGCTTCTGAGTTCGAGGCCAGTTTGGCCAACAGTTTGAGTTCCAGGACAGCCAGGGCTACACAGAGAAACGTGTCTTGAAAAAAAACAAAACAAAACAAAAAAACTCCAACCAATAAATAAATAAAGAAAGGAAGGAAGTAAATAACCACCAAAAAAAAAAAAACCCAAAAACAAAACAAAATAAAAACCCAACAGAAACAAAAAAACAATCAAAAAACTGTGTAAAACTCGACTGGGCTGTAACTCCGTGTCAGAGCACCTGCCTGGCATGCAAAGGCCCTCGGTTCCATCCCCAGTACTGATTGCAAAAGAAAAAAAAAAAACATCAAATCTTGTTAATCAAGTAACACCATAAACAGAAACAAAAGGCGCCCCATGGTGCAGGAGAAAAATACGTGCAATCATCTTCTGGTAAAGGACTAGTGCCCAGAATCCACAAAGAACCACAAACTCAGCCAAAGCCAGCAGGCAATGGACGGGGGACTTGAACACACATTTCTTCAGATACAACAGATGCATGAAAAGACTGAGCATCATTAATCGTTAGGGATGAGAGAATCAAAGCCATCTGACACACCATATTATACTCATTATAACGGCAGTCATCAAACAAGCCCTCACACTATAGCCAGTTAAGAGGACAAACTGGACCTCTTCGTACAATGTTGGTGACAATGTAAAATCATGGTGGAAAATACATTGGTGATTCAGGAAAAACAAGACCTATAAATTCAAAACCTTCGAATCCACCAATCCCATTGCTAGATGTCAATCCCAAATAAAGGCAGGACTGAGAGATGTTCGTGGGAGCCCCATTTACAGCAGCCCCAAACCAGAAGCAACCCAGATGCCTGCTGATGAACAAAAGACGAACAAAAACTTGGTCTGTGTCTTACAACAGAATAACAGTCCGTCTTACAACGAAATGAACATTCGATGAACCTTGAAGACATGCTTTGTGAAGTAAGCTGGTACAAATGAAAGAACAAAATGTCATGAACTGGAAAGTCAGATGTGACAGTTATTTCTGCTTTATATAACAGGCAAGAAAGCCACTTTTTTGTTGTTTGTTTTTTTGAGACAGGGTTTCTCTGTGTTACAGTCCTAGCTGTCCCTGAACTAGCTCTTGTAGACCAGGTTGGGCCTGAACTCATAGAGATTCGCCTACCTCTGTCTCCCGAGTGCTGGGATTAAAGGAGTGTGCCACCACCACCCAGCGCAAGAAGGCCAATTTACAGAGGGTATGAGGATGACTCCAAAATCACAAATACTGTTACACTGAATCTTCTGTCTGCCTTGTACAGAGAGCCTTCCTAGTGTACCAAGCATTGAACGATGTCAAAAAACTAATGGCTGCGGGCTGTGGTGGCGCCTACCAGTAACCCCAGTACTTGCCTGGTAGAGGCAGGAGGATCAAGGGTTCAAAGTTATCTTGAACAACAAGAGACTGTCTCAAAAACATACAAAGAAGCAAAGCAAGAAGAAAAAGAAAGAAAGGGGGGAGGGGAAGGGGGGGAGAGAGGGAGGGAGGGAAGGAAGGAAGGAAGGAAGGAAGGAAGGAAGGAAGGAAGGAAAAGGGAGGGAAGGAAGGAAAAGGGAGGGAGGGAAGGAAGGAAGAAAGGAAGGAAGAGGGAGGGAGGGAGGGAGGGAGGGAGGAAGGAAGGAAGAAAATGTCAATGCCCTCTGAGAAGTCAGAAGCAGACAGTAAGCAACCTGAATGACCCTCTGTCTCTTCCAACAGGCAGGCAAGAGAAGATATGTCCTCTCAAGCCACAAAGATGTGACGCGTACAAAGAATTAAGGATCTGTAGCGCAGCCTCAGAGTGACCCACCGTCACGTGTAACGCACACTAATTCACCGTGTAAACACACATCAGGCCTACGGTGACTAACAGCAGATGTCCCATTTGACAGGAAGGGAAACTGTGTTCTTACTTAAGAAGGAAAGGATTCCAGAAAGTGCACTTACTAAATGTCACCAATTCAACCGCTCCTGGTTCTTTCTACGGAAGGCAGAACAGGGGAATGCAGGCCGATTCAAGCAGCTTGCTTGGGGTTTCTCTATTCAGTTCTTGAAGAGTCCTTTGAGACAAGTCCTAAAGGGTTGAAGGAAAAAAGATGTTAGAAAATGTTTTGTTTTGCTCTATTTCAATGTCGGTTTCACATGTGCCTGGAAATCAAGGAGGTTTTCTTCAGAAAATAAACGGTCACTGCTCCAGTTACTCAAGAAACCATTACTCTAATGTTCTCCAGAAACCAAGAAATATAACTCGTTATCTGACCCTGGAAGAAGTGGGGAATTGCGACAGGAGCATTACCAACTTCTGTCACGTGGTGTGTTTTGACCTTTGGAGTAGCGACGACATAGAGACATGCATACTGCTAAGAAGAGTATAGATGCAGCCCGAGACTCAAAAGAGACACGCCTCCTGATAGACACATACCTAGCTGGTGCCTTGCCCCTGCTCTGTGGCACAATGCTGCCCCCATTAACAAACCATCACCCCTGCCCGGCTGCATCCCACAGCGGGTCCGCACAACCAGGGAAATGAGGCGCTCGTGATCCACCTCCAATGAGAGTGATGCTTCCTCTGTCCTGAAGTCAGCCAAGACTTTCGAGGATGTTTCCTTTCAAGGCGAGGGTTGTGAGAAATGAGAAGTACTAGTTCTGGTTTTAGGTTAATCGTGGAAGCCACAGTACAAAACTATTCAAGTGAAGGGAACATAAAGTTCCAGTTAAACCGTTCAAAACACACAGATATATCAGATAAAAGCATCACAGTATATCTTTCCTGTACTCCATACCTGAAGATACACCCTACACAGCCTTTACAACTACCGACAGACCCGCTTAAGATCCAAACGGCTTATGGCCACATTTCTAAATGCAGGATGGCGCTACAACTGTAACACCAGCTGGAAGCTAAGTGAGACTTTTAACTCCATTATGAGCGTATCCTGGTGTATGTGTGTTCTGAGACAGACTGAGGCATGGTATCTATCCCAGAATGGCCCTGAAATGTGCAATCCTCCTGCCTCTGCATCTAAAGCACAGGGATTGCAGGTACAAGCCACCACTGCCTTGGACCCGCCATTGTCTTCACCTCCATGCGAAGCCCTTCACTTGTGTGCAGTGCAAGATACAGCTGAACTGCTAGGTTTAAAGAGCTGGTTTTGCCACTGTTGTGTGTTTTGGGTTGCAATATGTATTCTTCCACCAAAAATTTAGCTAAATAAAGAGACAAAACCTAGAAAACAAGAGCCAGGGGATTCATGGGGGACATTGGAGGACCTTTAGAGCTCTGCAGAGCAGTTTGGAATCTTCTGGATTGACTGGCCACTAGAGTCAGTTAAAACGCAAAATTGTTTAGCCATATCTCTATTGGAATGGCTGGTCTTCTGTAGGAGCCATGGCTTTATGAGAACACAAGCGACAACCTCAGCCGGACCCCAAGCCAAATCTGCACCAACAAGGGTTTTCTCAAAGAGGGAAAGGCCACACTGAAATTGGAGGATAGCTGATGTTTAACATGTAACCTCTCGATGCACAGTCTACCCAGCCCTGAAAAAAATGGCCCCGGGTGTTGCATGGTGGATAACAACCAATTCAACATCCCAGTTTGATAAAACCTTGGAAATTAAGGTGCAAATTATAAGCCCTGTCTTAAACTAGCTGCAGTGTCAAGACAACAGAATAAAATGTGGACTCCAACGCCAAGCTCTCCTGAGATCTTTCACGGGAAATATTTATGAAGACCAGATATTCTGCACAGAACTTTGAGGGTTCCCACTTCCATAATAGTAAAAGGTCCCCCTCAGCAAGGCAATATCTCAGAAGTGGACACATAAACTCTGAAATCTGAAAGCAAACTATTAATGTATACTGAAATTTGGGGTTCATAGTTTTATGCTGTGCTGTAGGGAAAGAAAGCTCACTGAGGGGCGGTCATAGCTGTTTAAGTCAGAAAACCCCTTAAAGTATAACATGTAGGCTCAATTGTATACTTCCAGAAAGTTCAGGCTTTCTACAATGAATCTAAATAGAATTTATTTCATAAAACTTCAGTATTTGCTATTCTGATTGCTCACAAAGATCTTCAAATAAAACCCACAAGCTTGGCTTTATACATGCATTCATCTTCCTTCCTTCCTTCCTTCCTTCCTTCCTTCCTTCCTTCCTTCCTTCCTTCCTTCCTTCCTTCCTTCCTTCCTTCCTCTCTTTCTGGAATGAGAATCAGAGCTGCTTGGGGATCCCAGCAAATGAGGTGGGGTCTTCGGCTGATGCCAGATGTCATCATTTCTGCTGTCTACCCTGACTTCATTTCAGCTCATATCTTTCTGTATTTGGTCAGAGTACACATAGCTTGTTGGTTTTGGTGGTAGTGGTTAGTTGGATTTTGTTTTTGAGACAGGTAATTACCATATGGCCAGGCTTGGAATTCATAATAAACCTTCTGCCTTATACTCATGAATGTGAAAAAATATAGATATAAAATATAATTATAGATATGAACCACTGTGCCTAGATGACACCCTGGGTTTCTTTAAGTATTGTTATTATTATTAATTATTGTTACTATTGCTACTATCATCTGTGCGTGTGTGTATATGATGTACATATATGCGGTTCTTTGTAGAGTTCTCTCCTTCCACCTCCATGTAAGGTCTATGAATTGAACTCCAGCAGGCAGGCTTGCAGCAGTCAGCAAGAACAGTTATCTGCTGAGCTACAGCAAAGGCCCACACAGTAAAGCAAAAATGACAACAAACAACAACAACAAAACAAAAGAAAAAACCCAAACAAACAAACGAAAACTTTACAACTGTTCTTTTCCTTTAAAATTAAAACTTCTCTTTAAAAGATTTCATTCTTATTTTTTCATTTTATGAGTTTGTTGCAGTAGATAGGGGCATCATGCTCGTGCAGTACTCAACAAGGCCAGATGAGGGCGTTGGAGCTATGAGAACTCCAATCAGAGATGGTTGTGGGTGGCGACACGGTGCTGGGAACTGACTCCATGTCCTCTACAAAAGCATTAGATGATGAGCCGTCTCTCCAGCCCCCTGTGCATGTGGTCTTTAAAGTCATTTCAAATTCACTTTTTGGAATGAGGCAAGATACACTAATATTCAAACAAACCAATAATCTTACAAACAAACAAACAAACAAAAACTTAAAAAAAAATCTTAGTCTAAAGTCAAGACCTGCGCTGCGCTGCTTCAACCCTCAGTCACAAGCTGAGGCTAAAATTAAGATTCCCACCCCTATTCTCCACCAGCTTCTAGAGACATGTACTTAGGAGGGTGTAAGTGTGAGCAGAGGCCAAGAAACGACTAAGGAGCTCGTGAGCATAGGGGGAGAAATGAGATTTTTTTTTCAGGGAGATGGGGGAGGATAAGAGAACATTGTAGAGAAAGGGGTGGGAGGAACAGAATGGGGAGAGACAGCAGAGCGAAGTGTGTGTGTGTGGTGGGGGGGGTAAGAATAAAGCCAAACCAGGTGTGGATTATGTCATAAAGAAATATGCTACTTTATCTAGTAATTAAAATGAATTAGTAGCAATCACACATGTCTTTCATTTTGTAAGACTGGGGCAGCTTATGTAGCCCAGGTTAGTCTCAAACTCAGGACAAAGCTCAAGACGACCTGGAAGGCCTGATACTCTGGCCATAGCTCGCAGTACTGTGTTTATGGTTGTGTGCTACTGCCGGGCAAGAATACTTTTTATTGGAAACAGATTCCGTCTTAAGATAAATCGCTTGCCCACTCTTGAGGAGGAAGTACATGGATGGATTTAAAGCTACCAGGAGTAGGTGCAGGTCAGCCATCACATTTCTGCCGGCCACTGGGCTTCTTGCACTGCTGGACCTCAGGCATGGTCTCAATGGTCCAGGCCTCCACCTTCTTGGGTGTTTCCCGAACTTGAGTGTCATTACATGAATTAAAGCTCTTACATTTGGAAGCATACTGCAAACGGCCAGCCCCTAGCTTCCGTAGCCTTCTGGACGGCCTTTATCCTGCTCACTGCTGCCCACTATGAATCCAGCTCTCACAGCAGACGGTGGCCTTTAAACCCATACCACTCGGTCCCGTCAGCCTCTTGGTGCTATCTTTAGAATAAAGTCGATATCCTGCTAAGATGTGAAGAGCCTCACTCCTCACCCAGCTTCATGTCATGCCTCAGTTTCCCTTACTCAGTTTCCTGGTGCTTCAGATCCCCTCAGCCCCTCTCTGCCTGGCCAGGCTGAACTTCAACTTCCCTCCTCCAGTGAAGCAGACTGGGGAGGCTCCTGAGACTTGCGCCCACAGTGTTATCTAACACTCTTCCTGACACAGAAGAAATTGCCACATTGAAGGACAAACACGGCGGAATTTTGGCATATGGTTTAAGCTTACAGTAATTGTTAGAACCACGCTCATCTTCAGCTAAGTTAAAACTTTACCAGGGCAGAGTCTGGTCTGACTCACATCCAGATCCAGCAGGTGTTCAATTACCGTGAGATGTCACTGTGACTTTTTTAAATGCTAAGTACTTAACATTGTCACTGGCAGTTAAAAATCGTGTTTTAATCCAAAAGCCACTATATTTGATAATAATAAAGAAACAGAATGAATAAATTCAAGGTAACATTTCACATCTGGCATTTTTTGCAAAATTTGAAATCAGTAAATATAACAATTTTGTGATGCATATCCCCAAGGATAAGATTCAACCTATCCGTATGGCGTTATTTAAGTCTCAAATGTTTCTCACTGCTTGGAAGCACGAAAAGAGCTTGCAAGGGAAACTAGAGGTTTGGATTTAGCAATTAGCTAAGGAAACACAGCCTCCAAAGAGCGGTAGAGCTGGACCAGGCATTTTAAAGCGCCCTTCTGCCTGATAGTTAGAAGAACACCACCTGAGACCTCCCACCTCACCTTATCCAATACGCACGTCTGTGTCTACTCTTCCTGAAATGAAGAAACCCAGGGGAAGGCAAGCTGGGATGGGATGGAGGGTGGGCAAGGCTAAGTCAGCAGCTAGGAGCCAATGCCACAGCAGCTAGGAGCCAATGCCACAGCAGCAGCTCAGTCCTTGAATCCTCATTGTACATC